TTTCTCTGGGTCGTTCCCGCCCCCGCAGCGTCTCTTGGGGATTGTCACACGGTCGCGAGTTAGACCCTTTCCACACTGCATAATTCACATATCATTCACGGTCAGCCATGTTTCTCTTTCACAAAAAAAAGTTCCAGCCGGGAAAGAATAATACCGCTTCTGAGGAAGAACGGGAACGAATCGTGGATGTAACCGGTTATAAGATATAACAGTTGTTATTTTTCACTTCCTTGCAATGCAAATTTATAATCCGTATAGCATAAAATATATATGCATATAACATGTTATTTCGGATGAATAAAAAAAAAGTGTTTTCTATAGAAAAAATACAGCTTCATAAATGTAAAAGAAAATACGCATTGGCCATGCGATCGACACTGGTCGGTTACGAGGCGTTGAGGTGCGGATCAGCTGTTTATCAGCAACTAAGTCGTGCGATCCCCATTTACATTGTTTAGAGGTGGCTCACTCCACCTCAAGCGAGGTGATCTGTGCTCGACAGTCTCAGAATTCAATAAAATTTGGGAAACAGACAAAATTTGCGGTCTGAACTTCAAGCGGAGGTGAGATCCGATTTGGTCGTAATTTTGCAAATTTAATTTGGCAACGTGGCCGCCAAAAGCCCCAGATGCTGACTTCCTAACCGCACGGTTATTATGAAGTCCTGAGCTCAAGATACCGCAAGAGGGCGCTGCATGCCGATAGAGGGCGCTGCATTGTAATCATCCGACTTTGTTTGGTAATGTTTGTTGCTCAGAAATTGCTCAATTTCGAAGAGTAAATGATTTTTTTTTTATTTTCTAAGAGCACCCTTTCGAAACATAAACGTATTAAAATCGGTTGAAGGGCCGAAATTTGGCAAACTAATTGAATTTTGAGATGATGGAGCATGGACCATTACTGCGCTCAAGGTGTAATGATTCATCAGTAAAATTTGTAACGGGACGGGAATTTTTCTAAGAAAAAAAAAATCTCAACACCTTGTACGTGTCCAATATCAAGAGTCTATCTCTTATTTTTTGCTTGAATGTACGAATCTTACTTTTTCCCATAGAAAACGGAAGGACGTCTTTTTAAATATACAAGAAATACATTTATTCCCCATCCACCATTAAATCCTCGTAACTTTTTGGCAGGCCCAAATAGGCAATGTGGCATAGTCGCCCGCCGGTAGGCCACCCGTCTCCCCCAGATGAAAAATCCCTCGCGTAATTGGGCCCATGGGGGAACAGTGGGGAAGGGCTGAGAGGGGGGGGGGGGGGGGGGGGGGGGGGGGGGGGGGGGTAGGGGGGGGGGGAGGGGGGGGGATGAGGGGGGGGGGGAAGGGGTTACGCAGCGGTCACTGCCCTCTAAATGTAGTGAGTACGGGATTTTTGTGTTAGGGCTTGGTTCACCTGGTGCATTCGTCTCACATCATGGATACAAGACACAGGGAATGCAGTTCACCTAGTACAGTATGTGCACCTAGTGGATGCAGTTCACCTAGTACACAAAGGTGCAAAAGTCCTTGCCCCTCGCATAAGCCAACTTTCTGGAAGCATATCTCTGGAAATTTCTGGAGAGATTTTTTTTTAGAGAAGCTGAGGAAAGGTCTATATATACACACAGAATATTCAGTGCATCAAATTGATGCTTTCTGGCCTTGAAGAAGTCCATCCTCCATGAGATGCGTTTTAATCGCATCAAATTTTCGATGCGATTTGATTCTGGGTGCATGTGTCGCCGCATGTCATGCATTTCGACCTCGTTCTCCATACCATATCCAATCTCCGCTGCCCCCTAGGGAGAGGGGGGGGGGGGAGGGTGTTAGGAATTCAATCCGAAGACAATGGAATTTCGCTCGTCAGAACAAATCTGTGGGTCGCCAACAAAAAGGGCACAAGTTTCGATCCATATACTTCCCTTGACTGTGTTCCTTCTGTGAAATCCCTCTGTTCCGCTCGGTGGGGAAAACGATGCTTTTACTGAATTTCTTAATCTGATTTTTCACCCCTCCTAGGAAATAAATTTTTTATTTTCTTAGGGTAATTGTTCAAAGGCCTTGGAGAAGACTTAAATTTTCCCCCCTTAAAACTCTCAAAGAGAAAAATGCGACGCCGATGTTGATACAGAAGCACAAAGAAACTCAATTCGACGCAAGAACGACGATTGGAGTCGAACGGTATCAACCGACGAGACCTCCTACCGATTATTCGTCGATGGTCATGGAAATCCAAGAGGCGAGGTCGAGCGAATCCCGAAGAACAGACAGAAGATTATTATGTGGTGCGGCTTCGGTGTAACGGGCCTGGTCGGCCGTCATCGATGGCAGCAAGACGACGATAGAAGCAGTTCCTACTCGAGGAAGTTCCCGAAACTATCCCGATCCATCGAGAACCTTTGGTCGATCCTCAAACGGCGTGTCAAAAAGCATAAAATCTCGACGAACTGGACAGATTTCTGCTCAAAGAACGGAACAGATTCGACTTAGCCACTCTAAATCATTTGACAAAGTATCAACTATTATTTGTGATACTTTTATGCCTTTATTTTTTTTTAGACAGGACGTGCGGTGGACACGAACGACAAGGGACCAATTAGGGAGACACAGATAGGGAGGGGGTGCACGCTTGGCACAGGGCACCACATCTATATCCACAGTCCCTCAGACAGGGACACCCCTCAACTGCCCACTATGAGGCCAAAGTGGTTGCCCGTGACTGGCACGAGCGATTTTTAAGGTGAACTACACCCGTATCTCCTAGAGCGGCATGTGTTATTCCACTCCACAGGAAAGCAGCTGCCTGTCGGCGGAGGAAGAGCCCGCTAACGCGGACTCCGATCCCTCGCCTCCCGGGTTGCCACCCAGAAGCCAGAACCACTCGGCCACTGAACCACCGAACTTTTCTACCTTGTTTCATGCCTTATCTATGATTAAAATTGGTTTTGATATTCATCCCATTCACCCTGAGAAATACTTGAAATACTGGGGGTAAAGACTTTTGCACCTTATCGTATGTGCACCTAGTGGATGCAGTTCACCTAGTATGCACCTAGTGGATGCAGTTCACCTAGCGAATTTGTAAAGAACCCGAAACCAACAGAACCCAAGATGATCTTCCGGCTGTTCCAAGTCACTAAAACCAGAAAAGAGAGAAGAAATGTACTCCGCTCGCCCCGAATCGAATCGAGGAAATGTGGACTGCTTCTCTCAATTTGAATGATCATATTGGAGGTAACAAGGACTGAATCAGTGCTTTCCGAGGACTAAAAGGTACTCATCGCGAAAAGAACTATTGTTAAGGACTCCTCTTGTTAAGGACTCTTCTCGCAAAGGACTCTTCATCTTGGAAAGGCCTGGAGGTGTGGTTTTCGCTGATTATTATCGATCGCTCTTCGCGGAGCAACATGCTCCACCTTTGAAAGGACTCGATCTGGTCTCTCAAAAGGACTCGATCAGGTCTTCCGCGCGCAGCGAAGCATTTCCGGGATGGAAATTCTCCTTTTGTGCAGCACTGATTAAGTCCTTGAGGGGGTCCTTGAGGGAGGGCCTTGATTGATTCTCCTCATTCGTTCCTGACCCTTCGTTGAAACTCTCGAATTCATGTCAAGAGATCTTTAATTTGTTTGGGTGATAAAGACGGATGGGGATACGGAGATTAAAAAAGGATAGAGATTAAAAAAAGGCTTATCCCCAGAGATGAAGGAGAGCGGCGGAAAGAAAAGCGTTAATCATGTGGTATAGATTGGTTTAATCCCGGTTTCTGGCCCCGAGGGAATCGTGAAAGGGGAAATTGGATTATTTGGGGGACGAGATGGCATCGATGCAGGCAGATGCCATTGCGCCTGAGATCGTGATTCCCTCGATCGTGATTCCGTTGATGGGGATTCCCCCTGGATCTGGGGAGCATGCGGCCCCGTGGGTGTGGTCAATGAATCATGCATGATTTTTTATGGGCCTTGGGGAATGCTACGAATCACACACTCGTTTACATATGTGATGAAAATTTTGGGGACGTTTTGGGAGGAAGGGGGCGTTGTGGTTGGACGATGGACTCAAAAAAGGGTTTTTCTCCCATCTCTGCTGAAGCTTATCAATATATAACGATTACAAATGAGTGCTGCTTACTTTGATGCATTATGAAGCGAAACTTATGCATTCCACCTCTTCACATTGCAAGCGAGGAATTTATTCGTGTGTCAAAAGGCGGAAATTTCGGGGAATTTTACAAAACTTCTTTGGGGAGGGACGGAGGGGTCTCTGAGCCCAATTAAACCGCCGAATAAAAGGAGGATCTCGGATTGCTGATAAAAATCTAATATAACCTGTAAAATAACCTGAAACGTTACATTTCATGATATACGTCGAGAACTGAGAATGCATGGAGAATCCAACGAATTTCCCGGCTTATTGGGACGGAAAATGTATGACGATGAAGCAAAAGCATGCTTCGTCGCAATGAGATTGATTCGTCGCAATGAGATTGATTCGTCGCAATGAGATTGATTCGTAGCAATGAGATTGATTCGTAGCAATGAGATTGATTCGTCGCAATGAGAGTGATTCATCGCAATGAGAGTGATTCGTCGCGCTGGTATGTGAATCGTCGCCCCTTTCATATTTTGACGGGTAATCCGAAATCGACCCGGGATCGACACGACAGAGAAAAGACAGAATCGGATTTCGTCTTGGTATCAGCAAAGAACAGGACAAAAGAAATAGAATGAGACAAGAACAGAATGAAGAATGGGAGAAAGTTGAATAAAAAGCGACCTGGTGACAAAAGAACATAAAATAGAATAGGAAGTTTTTGAATAAAAAAAAATAATTGAGATGGGGAAAAAAATTGAATAGAAAAAATTTGAGACGGAAAAAATTTAATGGAAAGAGTTGAATGGAAAGTATTGAATATAAATAATTGAATGGAAAAAAAAAACAAAGGCTGTTGATGTTTTTATTATTTTAGGGGTGGCGAGTGACATTGCCAGCTGTACCGGAGTTGACTTGTGGAAACGGCTTTATGGACCTGGCGAGGAGGGTGGTCGCTTGCCAACACCCAAGTGGGAGCAAGGCCAGAAGGATCGTGGATGAATTGCTCGGTGGGGATGACAAACGGTGAGGGGTTGAATGGGTTGGGAGGTCTTGGGGAAGGTCGATGGGGGGTGGAGGCGTCGGTGGGGTCGATTTTCGTTTCATTTTCGTTTCAATTTTCATGGCAATTACTGTGGATATTGACTCCGGGTCAGTGGTCAATGCTGGTCAGAAAACGAAAAAAAGGCGATTTTCAGAGCCAAAGCTTTTTCCAGAGCGAGGAGCATGCATTGCCCTGCCAACCCTTTTTTGCATATTTTCCGGTCGAAGGGCAAATCTAAAGCCGAAACGTTGGCCTTCATGGCTTGCAGATAAGCTGGGACGCACATGCCCTTCCGCGTGCCCCCTCGTAACTTGCAAAGGGATTGCGATATTGACTCGGAATTGGATCGTACACACCGTCAAGGCGAGCATTCGCTCGGCCCTCGCGGCGCCTCTCGATCGCATCAGCTAATTAAAACATGCATGCGCTAATGAAAGAAGGCTCGGCGCCAAGAGCCGATCGGGTCAGACGGAGGATGCGCCTCCTCCCTCCTCCCTCCTCCCCCGCATTCCATCCGTTCATTCATTCGTCCATTCATTCGCTCATTCATTCGGTGGATGTCGACCTCCAGGGCTGCCGCGGAGGCATCTTCCCTTTCGTCTGTCACCAGTGGAGGCCAAGGCCGCAATGCTCCTTCACTTTCACTCTGACCTTTACATTTTCTTATTATTTTACCATACTTTGCATTGCATTATCCTTTTAACCTTTACCCTTGCTCTATCCTTAATTTGCTTTATCAGAGAACACTTCATGGAGTGGGCAGCAAATCCTCTTTATAGATCTTCTCTTCAAAAGTGTGACACTTCTGCTCTGAATAAAATTGTTTGCCAGGAATACCAGATATGAATCGATTTGGATCAAATTTTTCCTTGCGGTTTCCTGGACAACAAAAAAATTTATCAAGAGAGTGTCGATGCAGAAAAAATACCCATATCAATAAAGGTACAAAAATAAAGGTACATTTGGAACTGCGAATTTTTTTTTTAGCCTAAATTATGTTGAAAGCATATGCTCACAAGCTGGTGATGAAAAATTGATGATTACTTTCAGCGGCATAAGCTTGCATTGCATTACCATTATTTTTTACTTTTATCGTTATTATATCATTTCGCTCGCAAACCGACGATACGGATGTAATATTTCTATTTCTGCGCGAAAATCCGCATTTTATCTTCATAAATCCGGCTTTAAGGGGCACTTTGAAAAACTTTGCGGAGATTCATATCAGCCGGAAGTCACGATGGGCGCGCTTCTCCCGGAAGGCCTTTCGTTATCCCTAATCCCTAATCCCTAATCCCTAATCCCTAATCCCTAATCCCTAATCCCGAGTGGGATTTTTCCCCCGACAGCGACGAAGGCGGCGAATCGCGATGGATGCATAATTATCGGAAAATTATGAAATATCGCGGATGGTTTGGCGCTCAGTAATGGATGGATGAGATCCTGTAATGGATGTTCCGCGCCGGATGAGCTTCACTTCAACGGATCTGCTTGTGGGCCTTCTCTTCTAATTCGATTTCCGCTGAAATGAAGTTCAATGACCTTGTGCAAATTCAAGTTGGTAAAGAAAATTGGCAAAAAATGGCGCTGTTTCGCAGACTGATACGGAAAGTAATCCGAGCAGAAATTGCATGCTGAATTCCCCTGCAAAATATATATTGTGCGAATAAATCCTGAAGTGACAAAAAAGTTTGCAGGGAAATATGTGTGTGCAAATGATGGCCGGGGGAGATAGCTGCCATTAATCACGAATTCTGGTCATTGGAGACGAGGAGATTGCCGTGGATATTGCCATGCAGATTGCCCTGCAAATTGCTTCCTGACGCCACCATCGATCAACTGCGACTGGCAGGCCTTCGACGGCAGGCCTTCGAGGCCCATTTTCAAGGTCAGGCGATCGGTTCCCCCGGCAGTTAAACTTTATTGTTATAAAATAAATATATCGAGTTTATCGCAATCCGCTTGCAATATTTCAGACTTTATCTCTGTGAGCCGTGAGGGATGGCCGGGTGTCATCGGGGAATGGGGAACTTATCTTCACGAGCCTTCGCGGAAATAAATTGCCCGCGAGAAAAGGGGAAAAAGGGGGAAGAAAATAAAAGTCAAGGGAGGAAAGGAGCAATGTGAGGAGCAATGAGAGGAGCAATGAGAGTTGCAATGGGAGGAGTCCCCCGGTCATTAATAATTCCATTGGTGCATTCCTCGTCCGGGTCAAGGCCGGACCGGGTCCCCCTTCGAGGCCAGACCGGGCTCCCTTTCGAGGCTAGACCTGCCTATCTTCCCCCGCCAGCCTCGCATGTTTGGAGCGGATTCGCCGCTTCATCGCGACTCATTCTGTTTTCTTGGGATGAGACTTCTTTTTTTTCGGAGCTGACTACGCAGAACGGAAGAAGCTGCGCCGTTCGTGCGACTGAAAGTCCTGGAAAAATATCCACGAAGTCCTAGAGAATACCCGGGAAGTCCTGGAAAATGCCCAGGAAATCCTGGAAAGTACTCAGGAAGTCCTGGAGTAATTTTCTTCCTGAAGGTGACAAGACGTCCAATAACACGAATAGGAACAGAAAAATCCAATTCTGCCAACTCATGGCACAAGGCAATTACAGATCCGCCAGACCGCAGCGAGAAACTCGAGAAAGTGCCAATTGTTATTTAATTAATTACCGATTAATTGAGAAACAGGGGAGGAGGTGCGGTTTCTACGAATCAATATGGAAAATCGAGAGGAAAGAGGGGGAGCGAGAAGACTGCCATTTTTACGACCTGCAAATATTCAGAATTTGCTTCAGGCGTGTTTCAGAAACTGCTTCTGACATGTTTCAGGTTCTGCCTCGGACATGTTTCAGACTCCGCTTTTGCAGGGCAACCTTGAAAGCAGTCCAGCTCATTGCCGAGGTATAAATATAGGAAAGACTCGCGAATTTGGAGTCGCAAATCGAAACGGCAAATTGGCACATCAAATTTATTCCGCGCGAATTTATTCCTGCACATTTCTTAGAGTACTTCTTGCACAAAAGATATCTCATTCGATATGCAAATCAGCTTTCACCTTCAATATTTGCTGCCACCGCAATATCGGCCGTAATCGAGTAATTAATTGGTTGCCATGGTTACCATGTGCGAACTGAACGGGATGAATGGACAAAAAATAATTTAAACTTTTCTTCCCCGCAATTTGCCTCATGAATTGCAGAAACCCTCGGTGTCGCATGGCAAATTTCTGCACCCACGCCAATTCCAGAGTTAATTACGTTTATTTACATATCCGCAAAATTAACATATTTAAATCAAGGGCGATTTGTCATTATTCCGTGCTTTTCTCTCGGCGTTCAACTCGACAAATTTTCTTTGGGCAATTTTTCTCTGTCGCATTTTTTCCCTCTCAACCGCAAAAAAAGGGAAACGTGCAAAAAAGCGAGCGAGTGCTGCACTTTCCGTTCTTAGCAAACGTGCGAATTGCAAATCACTTCTGCTTCTATTACACGAAGGTTGATGGAATTTCGGTGAAATTTTATCTTTTCTAATTCACTGGATTCGGTCTGGGCCGGTGCCAGATGCAAAAAAAGTGCATTTTGCTCGTGCAAAGTGGAAAATCCGCAATTGCATATTCTCCTATTGCAAAAAAAAAATAAGTCTGATTTTTCCTGCCTCTCTTTAGCTTTTAAATACTAAATCGCTTCAGTTAATCATATGATATTCGAGGATATTGGCGATAAACAATATCGGCGAATAATAATATCGACGATGAACAATATCGGCGATAAACAATATTGGCGAATAACAATATCGACGATTAACAATATCTCAGCGTGTTCGATCAATGAATTGAGTTTCTGGCGACTTGAAACGGTCGAAACAGGTCAAGATGACCGCAACCGGAAGTAGGCGTGGCTTCCCTTTTAGTGACGCAATTGATGACGTCATCCTGCCCTCTAGATTCGCTCGAGGATGGAGCTCCGAAGCGATTGCTAAATTTTTTTTTTCTCGAGAGGTCTTTGCAGTCGTCTGTCAGCAGACGCGAAAATTCCGTCGTCACTTGTTCAGCTTTTATTTTGCGTGCCGAAAACCTCCAGGGTACATTCAGAATGATGCCCTCTGCCAAAATTCTTCTGGAAGGGAGATTACAGACTCCGAGAGCAAACGTCTCTATTAATTAAATTAAGAAAATAAATAAAATTAAGTAATTATTGAGTTGATTGAGCGGTTATTTACATCAGGGTATCACGAGACCAAAGCAGGTCCAAACCGGAGGCGCAACTCCTCATTTAAGTTCCTGGAAATCATCTTGCCAAAAGAGATTGCAAAACCTTCATGCAAAATTGAGCGAAGGAGCTCACCGGAGCATACGACGAGGACGAGCCATGCAAACGAGGAATAATGCATGTCGAGCAGCAGCGACGAGGCGGGAAGGAGGTCTATCGGGGCAAGTCTTCATCTCGGCGGCCGGTTGGGCAAGTCTTCATCTTCGCGGGTCGAGGCCGGCGCCCTCCCTCCGCGCACCCTCCTCCCTCCCGCCGCGCACCCTCCGCCCATTCTTTTTTATTGCCCCATTCCATCGCCATCGCCGCTGCCGATTCATCAGCGGCTTTCATGCAGCTGAAACACGTGATAAAATGCCTTGCAATGCAATCCGAGACAGTTTGTAGGGCAGTGGAAATTGGGTCAGTATTTCATGCAAAGAAAACCTTCCGCACCCATTCCAGGACTTCCATTCCAGGACTTCCATTCCGGGACTTCCATTCCAGGACTTCCATTCCGGGACTTCCATTCCGGGACTCCATGCGCCTCGTGCTGCTACGAAGTTCCTTTCCAGTACTGCACAGTACTGTGCGGAGCATCCCATTTTCCCATGAATGTAAAAATGAAGAAAATTTGAAATTACAAGGTGAGCCAAAAAAGAGTTATTTTTCCATGTGATTCGTACTAATTAAGTTCATGCAATTTCGAGGAGGAATGGTTCTAGACTTCCCTGATCTAGCGCAAA